AGAAATAATAGACGTTAGAATAACCAGAATCATTTTGATAATTATAAATGGGACGCACATTTTTTTTAATTTGTGTGATAAAGAGGACGAACAATTATTGATTCTAATTTTAGTTACTATTTATGTATGGTCTGATGCCTTAGTGTTTTTGATCCGTGAATGATCAATGTAATAAATCTTTAAATATTAAAGGGTTGAAATTATAGAAGGTGGACCTCTAGCGATTTATTTCGATTTTGTGGCATAGATATACAATTAGGTCAAATGTACGAATATACTAATCAGTCTGACCGGAATATTGTGTAACAGTGTAAGAACTAGCTAATCATCTCGCAACCTGGGTTTTCGATGCAGGGATTACAATACAACATTGTACCAAACAGCCTTTTATGTATAAGTCAAGACTCTCTTCACCCGTGTGACTTAATTACTATGATGGCAATAAAGGGGCACAAATTAATAAGACACTCATTTTTAACTTAATTTAAAATTCACTTTTCTTAGCTATTACATATCTTTCAAAATAATTCCAGTTCACCAATTCACCAAATACCAATAATACTCTTCGCCCTAAATGATTTCAATCAAAATACCCGTCAACTTCACAATATATCTTACATGAAAGTATCGGCATCATCTAATTTTTGAAGGAATAGTAAAATAGTTTACAATGATAATGTTGAAATTTCCTATCTTCTGGGGGTTGTAGCGCCGTGTAGTCTCGTAACAACCCTTAAGCCAGCCATTTTCATTATCGTCGCTGAGAGAACCTCAAATCCTACTGAAGACAATGCTGTATATAACTTATCAGATGCTTTATCCGAACTGACAAGTCATGTAGCAGAAAGCCAATCTCAGAGAAATGTAAAGGAAACGCAGTAAACTTAGGATGTGCTGGCCTCGTTTCCTCAGAAACACTCGTAACTTGACATATGGTATTTTGGGAGGAAATGTCTTCCTTTATTAACAGTAGTTTGTTTGTACTCGTGCGGTATTAAGCGATATTTGTTGTACCAACTCCGGTGTTTCTATTATACCCAAAATAAAAACGACGGAATCAGCCTTAGCAGCGGATGAGGTGATATTGTGTTATTGCAACAATAAAAATGTCAGACACTAACTTGAAATTTTTTGTCTGTAATCGAATTCATAGTTTATCGAATTAATGCAACTGCCGTAAGGATTGAAATTAAATTGAGGCTGACTGAGGCAGAGTACTGTGAAATATATTCCGACCTTAGAAACAGGTATTCAGAAGTTTGAGAAAATTACGTACAAACGAACTTCATAACTTCTCCTCCACCAAATAGTATTGAGTTAAGTAGGATTTGAGGTTCTCAAGGCGGTGAGTCTGAAGATTGTTGTTGTTATGGATTATTGCGCCGTGTAGAACGGTAGAAGTTTACCGACGTTTCAGAGATCGCTGCCGCCTCCATAATCAGGGCGATAAGTGAAAACCCAGAAGATAGATATCTTCAGTATTGCCATAAATAAATAAAAGAGAGTAGACTTGGCAGGACATTTAGCACGCATTTGGGAAGTGAGAAACAATTTGGCCAACAAAATTTTTAGTCCGGAAATTCGAAGGGAAGAAATCAATTCTAAATACTAGGCGCATATGGGAGGATAATATTAAAATGTTTATTATAAAAACAGGCTGTGTGGATGTAAACTTGATTCTATTAACTCGGGTTAGGGTTCGGTTGCGAACTTATATAAACAAGACAATACATTTCCGCTTTCTATAAAACGTCGGATTTTTATCCATCTGAGGGACTTTCAGCATGCGAAGCTGAATACTGATCCGTGCACTTAGTCTGTTGGTCAGTTTCTTTGTTAGCGATTTAATTACAAACCGTAGCCATACAAGTAATACGTATATTTCAGTTGATGCAATGTAAAGGCTGAAGCATTAGATATGACGGTCAGTTCATATTCCTTCTGACCTTCCCGTTACTCATTCGTCTTCAAAGGCCACGCCATTTTTATAGCGAAGGCGGACAGACGCTCTGTCTTTTGTTTCACATGAGATTAAATTGAAACTGTGAATGATGGTTGGGAATCCCACAGGCGACAAACACAAACGCCGATCGATAAATTGGTCATGAACTGTAGTTTCGTCTCTTCATAATCTCGAGCTTCGTCTCCCAATTAAAATAGGTAGCATTCAATGGGAAAAGTCAAAATTAAGTAGCTCAAAGGAAGCCGTGGTTTTATTCGAGCACGTTAGGGTCCTGTTATAATGTTTATAGATTCATATTGCTCTGAAAATCTACGAAATGAAACGATAAGATGAGATGGGGCTATCTCTGAGTGGTCTCATTCTCGCGCAAACCACAGAAATACATTAACGAGTTTCACATCCTGAGCCGAGGGAGGTGGGTTCCAGTAATTGCAATATATCCATTATACATTTTTGTTTATGTGATGAAGCGTCAAAGTTGGAAAGTATTGTGAAATTGACGTCAGGAGCAATACCAGTGTTTAACGTCTTTTCATCAATGTGACATACCGGAATCCAGCAGGCAGGCAAAACGCACGGAGTCCAGTTTCCAACTGTCTCAGTTCAAAGGCGTTGTGATATTTGTACAAAGTACTAAAAAAAATATTTAGACCTAAGGTACGGGCTGTAGCAGGGGTCTGCAGAAGCTTCAAAACTCAGTATAATACCTACTACCACTTACTAACTTCTATGATGGAAACAAGACCTAATTATGTTCCTTCGTGCTTTGCGTCGTAATGGAATAACGTGATTCATGAATTGTAATGACCATCTCCAATAAACAACTTATTTTCTGATAACTCTATTAATGGGGTCGTCCAATCAATACCAATTTACACCTTATAATTAGCCCATACATTAGAAGTCTATAATACTGCCCTGTCTGCAAAACAGTTTGTTATTGATCACATGTACTGCCCGTTTCAAAATTAGAAACTCGTCAACCTGACATTCATCTGGGATCAGCAAACTGAACGGCTTTGAATTTCAGATCGTGTAAATACTCAGTAAAACTATGTCTTGGATGGCCTTCATATTTACCTCTATATATATATATATATATATATATAATGCCAGAACTAAAGTGACAACGTGTTAGTACGGGCTGAACAAGCAGCTACCATCGGTCTGCGGACCTGTTCTGTTAAGTATCGGCTGAGTTCAATGAGCAATACTTCGCCTTGAGATTGGAGACAGTGAAGGATACAGAAACGTTGAAATCCAAATTAGTGAATGAGATATGAGGATGTTGATGATGGTTTTCTGGGTAGTAACGCCATGTGGGTTTGTGTGTAGATAACTAACGTTTCGGAGGAACATAATGACTCCATCTTTATCCCTGATAGATCCAGTATTTTTTTTTCGTTTTTTCGAAACGCTTCACGACGTTGCTGCCCACGAGCGGAACATCGATAGAATCCGAAATATTAACTTCAGTGAAATCCTAAAATTTCATATTGTGTAATTTTTGTAGACTAATCCCAGACTTGCGCCAGATGACACTTGAATTATTCCAGCTTCAGTAATTCAAATATGTGTCGAAAAATTATCTGCGAAAGTAAGTTTTCAATATTGTGATTCCTAATGATCTGACGTACGTATTAAAGTAACTGCAAACTAAAACGTTTCACTCTACTAAAAAGGTAAACTGCTTAAGACACAATCCAATATGTGGTAAAGTGAGCAACAGAAAATATGTATGCAAATTAGCAGTTATATCTATTAGCTTCGAACAGTTACAGAGAAGCACCTGAAGATGACCAATTAAGGTCAAATCATATAGTGTGTCGTTAACAAACATTCGATATATAATAAAAAAATTGTTGTGCAGATAGACTATAAGCCTAACGTTCAACACACAACAGGGCAAACACCTCAAAACTCGTACAAAAGTAAAGTTAAATTTGATGTCTGTCCCTCGCGGAATAGGACCAGGTAGATGTAATGGGCGGAGTTGATAACAAGTCAGTATAAAATTGTATTGTGCTGTGTAACTCAGGCTACGATGCAAATAGACCAGATAACAGTTCATGCAGATGTGGGTAATTCGATACCCGTCCCCTTGCTCACTTCTCTTCTACTTCCCAGTCATAGTTCAGGTTGGTTCAACAGCCCCTGTTCACACGTACGCTACAGGTAACGCACGTGGCTTGTATGTGGCATGCACACAGAGATACAGGGATTTTCTAACAATCCTATACATATCTGTAGTCCAAAGCTTCGCTGATCTAAATTATGAAAACCTCCACGTAAGTTTCAGACTTTTCATCAATTGGTTGTGGCAATGAGATTACGAGGAAATAAGTCAAAAACTAAATGTCTCACCCTAAATTTATAAATAATTAAACATGTATACATACCCGGAAGTTAGCAGAACATCCAGTTTTTGTTTCGATTGTCTTTACAGGCCGAAGGTACCATGGAATAAATCTTGTAATACGATAAATAAGAGCTGTTATATGAGTAAGACAATATATCGGCCAATTTCCTCTAAGGAATCATGTACATTTCTTATTGTTGGCTCTTTTCCGGTTGTCAACTGTAACGGAAGATTAATTTTCGCTGTGGGAAATCACGTGTTTGTGTTATGACTTTGCTGGTACGGAGAACCCAGAAGAGACCATGTTTCTCTTGGGTCTGTCACAGGAACGCGCCTGGCATCTTCCAGAGAAGTGTCCCATCACGTAGCATCTGCAGGTGAAACGCTCATTCCTCAAACCAAACCAGAACAGGAACCCACAACTTTTGTATTTGATAATCGCATTCCTTTACGACAAGCCCTTTATTTATTATCGTTGTTGTTGTTGTTGTTGTTGTTGTTGAAAGCACAACTTTACATTTGTGTCTGTCGCCAGCAGAACCCGAAGTTCAGCACCGCTAATGCCAAATCCCGCCTTTGTTCACGACCCAATGTTATGCAATTGAGAATAATTTTCCTGTACAGAAGCCTTTATAGTACAGGTAAGATTATTAATAATTATTGCAATATTATTATTACCTGGCTGGGGTACATCCATGGTCTTCTCTTCCACCCACCCACTCTTCAACTCATTATAGTGGCCTACAACGTAAATATAAATCAGTAAAAACATTATTTAACCAAGTTCTTTGCTTCGGTAGTAACAAAAGTTGTATTATACAGTCTTCTGGAAACATAAGAAGAAATGGAAGGAACCAGTAAGGCAAGAAAATTATTTTGCTCCATGGAAACACTCTTACGGCTTCACTAAACTAAGTTTCACTCTCACAAGCCTTCTCAATAGCTGACCAGGTCCAGTCGATTCCAGGCATTGATCGAAACAACAAACACACGCAAGAACTGTAGCTCGATTTATCTTATAGTATTTTATCAGAATGAAATTGAATTCTACGGAATGGAGTTACAGCAAAATTCCATCAAATAGAATTTTACAGCCTTGTTCAGAACATTTGTTACTGAACGAGGAAAATTATTTCGATAATTTAGTTTTGTTACAAATTCACTACTCCTTGTGTTTAAATGAGATTTTTCCAAATATGTTTCGAAAAAGAATTTTGATTTGTTTCAACAGACCTTTCTGCCTCTTTCAGTATAATGTAATCCTCGCTGGAATATTTACCGGCTGTTCTAATTCTTTTCATGCTAATATTATCAGGACGGCCATAAACGTTGTTAACATCCATCCCTTGTAAAAACGGGTTTGCTCATTTACAACGCGTCGGCCCTCGCCTGGACATCGACTACCCTGACCGTGTAATTTTGAGGTTTTATTAAGCAAATTATGAAGGAGTACCTTGAAATAGACCACAAGTACTGCTTCTGTGTTACCAATTTTGTCCCTCTGTCATTAATTACCTTTATGTAAGTGAATAACTTTAAAAAGTCGTAAAGTTATAGAAGCAAAGAAATATACATAAATGTATGTACACAGTGATCGTGCGTTACGCGTATTTTAGTGCTAAGCATATTTACATATCATACCTCTGAAGTTCAAAGCGTTTTGTACCCACAATGGGGGCAATTCTTAGAGAAAAGACTAAGCTTCCGACAATTACACAATTTGCTTTGCATCCAGACAATTTGGTAAACATAAATAATTTTTTCTTAAAAATAAATTTCCACTGTCACTTTTTCATACTAAAATATATACTTCTTGCACATCGGAAGTGATTAATAGCGTTAATAAGTTTGTGATGAAGCTAATTATGATGACCAGTTATTATTTGACTATGATTATTAACATCCACTGTAATTTGCAACATTTTCATGGCAGAAAATAACTGTGACAGCATTAACACCGGTTTATAACCAACTTTAACTGATAAAATTTATGATCGGTTGCTCGTGTCACCGACATCCCGACTGTAAATATCCTCTAATTAGCTCTTCTACTCCTATCTCAGCCTAGCTTCTGGTTCGTGTAAAGCTTGCAACCACAACCGATAGTTCGGCTAGCTGCAAGAAACAAAGTGTCCATGTACCAGAATACTGCATTGGCGCTTCCACGGTTTTATATCGTTAAGGGTTTTAAAAAGCTTTCAAATATTATATTTTGAACAGGGAGTTTCTCTGTGGCACAAATACAAGAAAATTAAGTACCTTAATTTATTGCACATCGGTTAGATAAAATATATTAACACACAATGAGATCTCAGGCCGCTATTGAAAATACTGTAATAACTTTCTAGTCAACACATCAGACAGATTATATTTTTAGTCCGATCAATATTAAGATTCTGGTCTTTTACTCAATGTTCATTGGACGTGCATAATACGGAGCATGTTATTCTGCCCTGTCCTTATTTTCTAACATTAATAATATTTTGGAAAGATTCGATACGGACATGCAAAAGTACAGAAGACTTGTGGACAAAAGTGTGGCTTAAATACAAGCGAAAAAGTAATAGCAGGAAGAGATGGTTTGTTCCGAAAACGTAATTGTGCTGTTGTCTTGTCCTTTACGGACTAGGCTTTGTGGTCTGTTTCCAATTCAGAATCATTATTGTGCTGTTTTACCGAATAATAACAGAAGTAATGATGATGATAATTCTTTAACCCTTAAAATCACGTATTGAACATGCACATAAAATCGTAGGATAGGGTGGATAAGATGTCGGAGTATCAGTTGAAATAAAGTTTTATTTACATTGGAATAAATTAACTTTAAATTTCTCGAAAAGGTGTTGTCATAGAAAATGAATTTTTTATTCAATGACTTTGTTGGTTTTAGTGCATATTTGGGTCTTCAGGAAAGGTTGGCTTAAGAAAGCGTAATTTTAAATAAAAATTCTTTACAGCATTTACACACTCTCACACTTGCGGAATTATACAGGGCAAGGGGAATTTGAAGATGGCAGTCACCCCCCCCCCTTGCGGGAGGTGCTTCCAAAACAATTTTTTCACAATTTTTGGCTGGTCAGATTAGTTACTAAGTAGAATAAGACAGTAGATTGAATAATTTTCCATAACACCAAGACCAAAACAAAATACGTCAGCATACTCTCTGGGCTGGGTATATAAATGGTAAAACATGGCCGATAGTTACCCAGGAAACCGTACAAAAGCTAAACTAACGTTGCTTGAGTTCGTTCTCAGTGGTCTACTAACAAACAGGGAAATATGACCACTTACATGTATAAAGAGACAGGACCACCCAGCCCCTAAGCGAAGCCTTGTATGCCCCAACAGCTCAGTATATTCTCGCCTGGCTTACCCAACCGCCCGCCTCGCCTACATGCAACGATCACTACGCCCTTTTTACTGAGCATTAATTAGAATGTGAGAACGCCAGTGTTGGGCGGAAACAAATATTATATAGTCAAACACAAAGACTCGGCCTACATGTGAGTATTGTGTGTTTACTGGACGGCTTAGTATCTCTATCAAGACACTGGAGAAGTCCCATAGATGTTTGTAATTTGAATTTTTAATTGCTTAATGCCATATTACGTTTCCTGCACTTCCATTTTGCCTACGTTATATTTACTAAACTCACATTCAGAATTCTCATGGCTTCTAATACTCGGGTTCAATTCATATAGGAACTTAAGTGAACGCTAAAATTAAAAGCTTTTCGTAACCCCTTAAAGTCCACTGGTAAATATATATACCACCTGTTTTACCAATCAGTAAATATGTATTTTGTGTTTATGCTGTTTATGACTAGGGATAAACAACTGTTATTTCATTAAAGAGCTTTAACAACTTGGTCTTCGTAATGTTGAAGTTCTGTGGTTTCTTTGAGGTACGGACTGAAGTAAAATATTACTTAGACGAGCTGCAGCTTCAAAGGGTTAATTCTAAGTAGTTATCGCAGTTATTATGTTAGTCGTAATAATACTGTGCCACGAACACACCGGTGGGATGATTTAGTACAAAAATCAAGTTATCTCAGTCTCTTAGCTTTCATCCGCCGTCCAACGTCACGACGCCTTCTGTTCCCAACCCAAAGAAGATCCAATTACGTTTCATCTTTCGTTTCTAAGCAAACAGGCGATATTCTTTTAATCTGGACTCGTACAGTAGTTGATATGTAATTATCTGGAAATCGTAGGGCAAACATAGTGAACTTCAAAGTAATGCAGTTTTAGTTACTGTGATGACATAATTCTTAAATGTGAGCCCACCCTCTCCAGGATAAATGATTCGTTAAAGACGGCAGAAGAATGAAGCATGTGATTTTAACTGTTCGTCTAGTTTATTACAGAAACACGAGTGAAGATTAGGCTAATAATTCGATTATTTGGAACTGATAAACACTTCGAAAACGAAATCAGATAACCGTTGTTTCATTTTATTTTTTGCACAAAATTGATATTTACAAAGTACATTCAGTTATGAATATCTTGAAGATATTTTTAATAAACATCTGATCATTTGAAAGAATTTAATAATAATTTGCCATGAAAGTTTTAAGTCCTACATCTTTTTATTCGCTCAACGAGTTTAGCCGAAGAAATATTAGTATAAGTGAGCGTAATAATTTATGTTCATGTATGTTTTATGTTTTTCATTCAAAAATACTTAATGAAAGTACAGGAGATAATTAATTGAGATGCTTCAGTTGGTTTTAATCGAAATTCATTAAAGGACAAACATCAGGACGTTCCTAACGATGAAGGCAATAAGCACTTCTGAAACGTCGGCCAGTTTCTACGAGGCTACATGGCGAAACATTACATACCATAGCCGTCTTCATATTCTACGCCGTAAGAACATCAAACCATACTGAGATATGGATATTTTGACAACATAGTGTTAAGTAACAGACGGCGTAAAGACGCGAATGCGAATTTTATTAACATGCAAAATCGGAAGCGACTTGATGTGAATATGAAATTTTGACATAACTAGTCAGCCGTCCTCACTGCTCCTTGTAAGAATAATCTAAGTACCACTATATATGAATTCCTGTTTCCTAAGCAGACTTCGATTTGAATTTCAGATATCTCAAGAAAGTGAATAAATGTTAGGTTTAGATACGGTAGTGCTGTAGCTCTGTGGAATTTGTATAAGGATACGGAATCTTAAAAGAGGACGCTAAGTATCTGAGGCTACGGCTACGCTGTGTATGAAAGTCGCTGTATAACACGTAAGTCTGTGCGAGCATGTTCCACATGAAACTAAGCCTTCGATTTCGTGCAGACTGCAAATGCGCGCTTGTTATTTCAAGTGATTCTTGAGATGAGTTTCGAATGGCTTCACATGTGGAGAAAAGCGCAAAGTACCACGTCAACCAAAAAGGCAGTACGAATAAAATGAAGTTAGCCTGGTTATAAGGAAGGGTAGAATTAGATTTGCCATCCTTTGACCCGACCGACCCCTGGCAGTGGGTCGGGGTAACCTGGTTACAACTTCCTCAAGCGTCCGTAGCCTCGCTACACCTTCTTTACAACAGCATGGCGTGTTTGGACTGGTTTATTATTTGCATTTTGATAAAAGACATACTCTACACCACAAGAATAGAAAATGTATTTGTTCTGTGTATTTTAAGGGATGCGCAACTTTCGTTTGATGCATAGTGATAGGATAATTGAACGGTTTAGATACAAATCGGGAATATTAATAATGTAAGTCTTTTT